AAATCCAATTGATCAAGAAGAGACTCAATCATGTCATCCACATGCAAATAAAAAATATTGATGTGTTTAATTTTTCCCACTTAAATTTTGCTTGACAAGTGCCAACTCATGCAGCCGAGGAATTTCATTTCGAGATGTCATTAATCGGAACAAAAAACTTTCATCATTTATATTCGGTTTTCTATTGAAATTCACAATGTAGTGAGCGGCAAAGGTTTTTCGAATTTTACATATTCATATCTTCTACTTTTGTTATCATACAGAAGAATTTTTTTGTTCATTTATCAAAGTAAGGTGTTTTTATGCAGAAACATTTCAATTTATCTCGAAAAAACTTTGCTCTAGGAAAGAGCAGAGTTTTGTATTACAATGAAGTTGAAAATGCGTCAAGTAATATCAAGCTTACTCAAGAGAAAAAATACTCTTCATTTCTGCGGTGTACGTATTGCTTACGCTATGCGTTCGCTATTTTTCTGCGTTATTCACACTTACACCATATTCGTCATACGAAAAAACGGCAGAATGTAAGTGTAGAACGCATGCGGATTGCGGATACACTAACGTTCGCTGTATATTCGCGCTTCTCACACCAATACCAACGCATACAATTCCATACTCAAGCGCTCTTTTGTGTTGCGATATTGACGCCAGGCCGTATGGGGGCCTTGCGTATTGAGCAAGTTTTATGACACGCCACCAATTAATTCGTTTATCAAGTGGAGATCAATTGTTCATAGTTATGGATAGTGGGAATTGGATAAATAGGTAGAGTACGTGTTCATAGATCGCGTGGTCGCGAGTTCGATTCCATGTTGAGAAGGGTTTTTTATTAAGTAAAACAAGCGCGCGCTGTTAAAAACTTGTACATCCAAAAAGCATCCACACAATATCGATTCGGAAAAAAATGAGAGAACGGCCGCTTATTCGAAATTGCAGCGAAAAACGAAACATTTTGATTCGAGTGCAAAACCAAAAAATAAACGGAGACGACGAATATGAAATGTAGAATGTCGAACGAAAAGCTTATGAACGCGAACCGCGATAGAAAATGAAGGAATTGCTGTTCAAACGAAGCAAGCAGCTCACACTGCTCGTCGGTGCTACGCGAATCAAATTGAGCGAAAAACAGAACATGAACGGGGTCCGACTGAATGAGTTGTAGAATGTTGAAACTGTCTGCCGTAATATAGGTATCGAAAAACAAAATAAAAATCGTCGATGCTTATAATAGTAAGGTTCGGAAAAATTATAACTAAGTAGATAAAATGAATTTCATTCAAAAGGCACAGCGACTCATTCTATACATGACTGTAAAATGTATATTTGTTGAAACACTCATTCAATCCGATGGAATCATTGGAACGACAAAAGCGGGAAATATAATTGATACCAGCAAACTAATAAGATATCCGATGACGATTTTTGAGATAATGGCTGTCTGGAAAAATGAACGAAAAATGTTCGTCATAATGTGTCCATGTTTACTTCATGATTTACTAAAAGATGACGTATTCCAACAAATTCTACTGTTGTATGTGTTGTACACAGGCTTCGAGTCGTTTGAATTTCATTTCAAATTCTTGTTGTTTTCGCTTTGGAAATTTGGGTTGAAATATGTATTGGTTTGGATATGGATAGTATGTACGAACGAAAAATGGAATAATTACATACATCCAGAAAACATCAATACTTTAACATTCGTACAAACTGGCGAGATTCAAACAAATGAATCATACATCTATTTGGCATGGTTTATCGGCCGTGGCATGATATTTGAAGCGTGTGACGTATGGAAGCTATTAAAAAAATCCGCAATTACTGTATTCTCCTTATTCACCGATTAGTTGAACACATGCGTGTATCGATTTCAATTGTTTATTTTTTTTTCAAAGAAGAAGAAATAGAAATGTATCATGCGACATATCATTTTGAAGGGAATTTTGCGTAGAACACGATTTTGGCAGCAAAAAATAGAAAGAAAAATATTTTCAAAATATGATCAAGGTTACGTGAGTCATACTGTGTGACTCATACAGTCAAAGAATACATTTGAAATCATCATCTGGATCTCTTGAAGCGTTGGCAAAAATTGACTAGCAATTTTTAAACAGTCAAATGAATTGCGATTCGTTTTGGTGAATTAATAAAATTGTGTGTAATCAAACTCTTAATTCTGAAATGGAAACAAGGCATAAAATATTAGCTTGATTTTAATTTGACAAAACATATTTTCCTTTCTATTTTTTGCTGCCAAAATCGTGTTCTACGCAAAATTCCCTTCAAAATGATATGTCGCATGATACATTTCTATTTCTTCTTCTTTGAAAAAAAAAAAAAAAAAACAATTGAAATCAATACACGCATGTGTTCAACTAATCGGTGAATAAGGAGAATACAGTAATTGCGGATTTTTTTAATAGCTTCCATTCCAATTTTCGATACCTATATTACGGCAGACAGTTTCAACATTCTACAACTCATTCAGTCGGACCCCGTTCATGTTCTGTTTTTCGCTCAATTTGATTCGCGTAGCACCGACGAGCAGTGTGAGCTGCTTGCTTCGTTTGAACAGCAATTCCTTCATTTTCTATCGCGGTTCGCGTTCATAAGCTTTTCGTTCGACATTCTACATTTCATATTCGTCGTCTCCGTTTATTTTTTGGTTTTGCACTCGAATCAGAATGTTTCGTTTTTCGCTGCAAATTCGGATGAGCGGCCGTTCTCTCATTTTTTTCCGAATCGATATTGTGTGGATGCTTTTTGGGTGTATAAGTTTTTAACAGCGCGCGCTTGTTTACTTAATAAAAAACCCCTCTCCATATGGAATCGAACTCGCGACCACGCGATCTATGAACACGTACTCTACCTATTTAGCCAATTCCCACTATCCATAACTATGAGCAATTGATCTCCACTTGATAAACGATTAATTGGTGGCGTGTCATAAAACTTGCTCAATACGCAAGGCCCCCATACGGCCTGGCGTCAATATCGCAACACAAAAGAGCGCTTGAGTATGGAATTGTATGCGTTGGTATTGGCGTGAGAAGCGCGAATATACAGCGAACGTTAGTGTATCCGCAATCCGCATGCGTTCTACACTTACATTCTGCCGTTTTTTCGTATGACGAATATGGTGTAAGTGTGAATAACGCAGAAAAATAGCGAACGCATAGCGTAAGCAGTACGTACACCGCAGAAATGAAGAGTATTTTTTCTCTTGAGTCGTGTATGGATAATTCTAAAATTTAAACAGTTACACGAGGTAGAGAGCATCCAGACAAGCTGTACGGTGTCATTTAATAATTGAACTCCATGGAATTGCAGAAAGTACTTCCGGAGCATTTATAATGATGGTACATCTCTTGTTTGAATTTCCATTACTCCGATGTGGAAAAAGTATCATTTTGTTGCCTTTTGTTGCTTTGTGTATATTCAAAGTAACCAATCTAATTTGAATTCGGTTCCATGGTCCCGAGCATGATTTTATTCATCAAGACTTTTTTGTGAACATGATGTGAAAAACAGGTTAAATGAACTACGCTGAGAAGCAACACTATTGTAAATCTCAAGATTGGTTTGAATATTTTTTTCTGTTCTTTCGTTTAACTGGTGAGTAGCAGTGAAAACTTATAAGTGATGCTGATCTGAATGACCAGTGCCCACTCTATTTAAATATGGATGAATGTAAATCAATTCCCCCAACAATATTATTCATTAATCAAGGAAATTGCTCGGTGACGTGATCAGACGGCATGTGTGTTATCATTTGTTCAAAATGTTCCGTCTTGAACAGCCTTTTAGCAACATCACTCCGTGAACCAACTGTATGTGAATAAAATATTCAACGGAATATTTTCTCTCTTATCGAACATCCTCTTATTCTAGCGCACTTGAACATCCAAGAATTGCTCGAATTGTAATTGAAAAGCAATTTGATTCTTATCTATATACATTTAAGTAGTATAAGCAATACTAAAGATGATCTGGACCGGACCGTCCGAATCAACGGTAACGGAACTGTTTAAAATTAAAAAATTAATTCATTTGAAGATTTATTCGTTGGGCTCATTGATAATGAATCAATTCTCAACTCATTTTCAAGCAAGATAATTCTCTCGAGAGCCTAATTTTCTTTGTTTTCCTCAAAATCTTGAGATGTGTGATTGAAATTTGCAAAGTACATGCAATTTCAAATTCTGCTCTAACATTAGTTTTCACTTTAAGCTGTTGTTCATCACAAAACAACACATGTTCCGTTTCGTTCGTCTCCACTGTGTCATGTTGATGTTTAGGCATTTCATGTGTTGCAAATATCGATCAATAATTCATTTACAGATCGATTGCTATGGACACATATTGATGCGATAGCCGTCTCCACTCGTAATGCGAATATAATAAAAGTGATTGCAAAAAAGGCTTAATAGTCCAAAGCTGAAATCAATTTAACAATCGCTTGTTTATTTGAAGGGGGCTAAAAATTGAAGTGAGTGAATCAAAAGCTTCAATAAATCAAGAGAGCTAGTGATATCCTTCGTTCGCTTCTAAAAGACCGCCCGACTAACCTACTAGCAGAAGGCTACTGCTGCGTTCAGCCGTTGATGTTATTGCTACTAGCAAGCGCAATCTATAATTCAGATGTCATGCAAATTGCGGTATCGATTGCAATGATTAAATATTCCGCAGGACAAAGACGAGTGCATTGCATAAATTAGGCATATAGAAGAATTGTGTCAAACACACAGTCTTTAGTAGAACATAGATAGCAACTGTCTCTAATACCGGAATATTATTGGCGCCATATCCAGAATAAGTGATAAGCTCAAGAACCGTAAAAAAGAGTACGTAATTAATAGCCAGGAACTAGGTCCGAAAGAAATGCGATGTCGATATTTAAAATGTTACTCGATTCGAGAAGCTGAATGCATATTCAACGGTATCATTTTTGATTCGATAATAACAAAAATTATTCCAGTTTTGACAAGTAGTTTGGGATTTTATTGTATGATTGTTTAAAACCGAGTGTTTAAAAAGAATTTATGTTTGTATTTTTCGCTCCATAAAAGTGAATGACCGATGACAAACCGGAGCCGTAATGTGATGTAATGGTGATTTTTGCATATGTCGAACCGAATCCGCCACTTTCAATTGTCAATTTTGACGGCTGAATCCTATAGTCATTGTGTTGAATACCATGAATCATAATATCCGATTTTTCTGGATCCTAAATAAAGAACATGCATGCTAATTATCTTCTTGCAACGAATTCAAAGGGGTTTACCAATGGTTATTCAAAAAAACGAAAATGAATTAATAGTAGTCAGTAAAACTGACTAAACTTCGTCAAAAAACGAAAACGTCAAACTGGTTTTTTTTGGTTACCTTTGGAAAAGTGACCGTTTGAATGGTTTCTCTGAGTGGAATGCGAAGCGTGAAAATTTTCACATTTCCGATGTATTGTTCTTCGTCGCAATCGCCAAACTCCTCGAAATGCCTTGGTTTGGTTTTATCACGACAAGCACAAACTGCAACTAATACGGAAAATAAATAGCAAATATTTCAACATTATTCTCACGAGATATTCGTTGGCGAGTCAATTTTGGGAGAAAAAAAAATCATCACTTCAATTTCAATCGAATTTATACTGTCTGAAAATGAAAATCGATTTAGCTATCAACGCAAAAAGTCGTCGATAATATCTAATCGTTGGCTTTTTTTGAGAAACCAGTGTGATTTGTTGGGAATGTAACACATTGTATTGGCCAATGAGTAACAGTGTTGTTGGCTCTTGAGTCACACAACACGATTTTCTACTGATTATAAGACATCGCGCAGGGGATTGAATTGCTTTGTGTCTGGCATTATCTTTTTTCTCTTTATATAAACAAGTGGTATCTTTATATATCGATATTTAAAAGTGTTTATTACACGAACTTTCAACACTGTCTTCGCTATGGTAATCCTTTTTCGAAGAGCATTGCACGGTTTTTGAATTGACTAACATCGTAAAATGAAGCAAAAAGTAAAATTGTGAATTGTTTCACTGAACTTTGGTCACGAAAAAACAAACTGATCATTGACTAATAGCTGACTTTCAGAAATACTTGCAGCGATACTTCCTTAAAATAGTCTACTAGATGGAAAATTGAAAGTCGAAAAAAAAATAATCGGGTTTGTCATGATAACTTGTCGAGAAAAAATTTGTGACTTTTTATAGAACTCTTAAACTTTCGAATAGAATGAAACATGCTCGAAAATCAATTTAAACAATTACCACATTTTACTCCGGCAACTTACTTGAGTTGAATTGGTTGAACTCTTGCTCCAAATAATTGGAAGTAGTAATAGTAATAGTAATGCTCCTAAGATAGTTGATTTTATGATTAATTTTATAATCCATATTCCACAGCTATTGTTTGCGATTGATGTGAATATGTTCGGAATGTCTTACTCGTAGTAGTTCGTGTAATCAAACCAATCAAATCTAATTATTTCAATTTCGGGCACAATGTATGAATTTGAAGTATTCGAACCACCTTTCGTCCAGCCAACGGTGAATTGTGAAATGTTGAAGAATTTCCTCGATTGAGTTTTGGTATGTATGAGAAATGAATAAGTGGCAATAAGAAAATTCAATCGCCCTAAATTATCAGTAATATTTGGTATGGGCTTCCCTTTTTCTCTTATCGGCAGATTGAACCGATAGAATTTCTATGGAATCAATTCATAGCATAATTCCTCTGCTAAAACGGTACACACATTTTATACGTGCTGCGAACGTTAGATACCGAAGAAAAAACGCACGGAGGAAATTGGGTCATTTGCACTAAAATCAGTGGGGCGATGCAATGTGAGCTTCTTTTGGCTAAAATTAGCAAAGCTTTTACATAAGCATATTGAATGTCGATATCGAAATACTACGCATTTTCCCTGGCTATCACTTCACTTTTTAATCTATGATCTTCGATTCGTTTCGAATTCAATGAGAACTCAAGCACATGGAACTTACTTTAATACCAAATACGAGGGGAGAGGTGAGAAAGAAAAGAAAAGAGTAAGAAAATAGAAATTTTTTTTTCAATATATAATATTTATTTCACGGCCAATTCATATTCTCAGAGGCAAAAATTTATCCCAAGGGGTAAAAATTTTCATCTGAGGGGTAAAAAACCAATTTATGTTCGCAGGGTTAACAATTTTTCGTACGAAAAATCAGTAAGAAGATAAGAAAATGCAGAAGTGAGGTAAAATAAAGACTAATTGGAATATGTTCTATTCATTTCACCGTTGAAATCGATCAGTTTGTTACATTCTTTGAGTTCACATAATCTGAGGGGTAATTACGTTTGCATAGTCATAGTATCCTTGAACCCAAAACATTTGTTATTTTCAGGCCCTGAAGAAGAGTCGCAGATGACTTGAAATGTCTGCATTTATTTCAAATAAATTATCGATTAGAACAAAGACCGAATTGGCTTTCATTTCAAAATCAATTATTTTCTTAATATTCTTGATTTAATGAGATAAAATGAAATTTTAGCGATAATATGGAAAACGCATACCACGGAGGACCTTCAAGCTTTTGACCAGAACAAACGCCATCTAACGATGGCATTATAACTAGTTTGACCGTATTTAGATAGTAAAGCTTAAACGAAAATTCAATGCTAGGTAAAAACTTCATGAAAAGTGCTTGATAAACTTAATAAAATGAATACATTTTTCGATCTTTGACACAAACGGAACAAGTTTTTTTTCTCAGTATTAGTGATATTTCTCTCGAATCTGTGTCATAGATTTTTTACCACTACGAAGAATTTATTTCATGGAAACAAAAAGTTGGCTGTGTTGATACGAAATGCGACAGTGACAGAATTTTTTTCTTTTTTATGTGATTTGTATCGGATTGTAAGTATTTCTTTACGTGTGTGTTCATTGGAATTTCAAACTAATTGAGGAGCTGTCTATATTTCTATGGAAAGTGTTATTGAGTATGGATATGATTTTGCATGAGATTCGCTTCTAATTTTTTAAGGGAATGCGTAGATTTGTATCAATATCATCGTATCCTACCTATACCTTATTGAGTGATGTAAAGTAAATGTTATACCGTATATCCTTACATCAACTAACACAGTAGCTATTGAACAAAGCAACGCCACCATGCCATGTGAGCCTGAATGTAACGCAAAGGTATGAGTCAGGTCGTTTGATCATTCACATTCTAATTTACATCATGTAAGCGACGGTTGATCTGTGGTCAACTTTGGATCGACTTTGAAACGGAATGTGTTTTGTGCATGCAGCGAAGATGTGAAATTTTTAAATTTGAACAGCCACGTGCCATAGTAACACCACTCAACCCTTCAAGAGTGAAAAATATTTCCTTTTTAAATTTTTACATTGAATTTGTAGTTTAAAGAAGGTGATGAAAGAATAAATGTAAACATCTGATATTTTCAATGCGTGAAAATGTGAAACGCGAAATTAAACACACGTGCACAGGTGGAATTGTAATATCATCAATTGTTTGACATTGTTATCTTGAAAAATGTGTGCGATAATATTTTGTGGACTTTTATTAGAATCGTCATTGTACGTGGATTGAATCATACAGTGTGTTGCCCACCGACGTGGCCACACTTGAAAAGTGTATATAAGAGGATGCGTTCGATTCGCATGTCCATCAAACAGTTCTTACCAATTGATACGTTCATAGTAAACTTTTAATAGTTCGAAGCTAGAAAAATGCTGAGTCGAAGTTCTTTCACACTGCTGCTCATTGGCTTGATGGTATCCGAGGTGAGTCGACAATTTCAGTCGATTTTTTTTAAATTTTTCATGTTTGATACTTTTCGTGAACAATTTGTGATAATTTTTTCTGAAATAATTTAAAAAATGAAAAGTGTGCTTTTTTCAAGTTCATAAATTGAAAAAATTCTTACATTCCAAAAAATGTCCACCGGAAACTTTAATACATAATGTATTAATCTCATCCGTTGTTCCCATTCCAAATATATCACTTTGATTCTATTTCCACAGTTCTTAATCGGGGATGTGAGCGGAGCACCACCCGGGAGGAACGGTAAGATTGAAGTTTCATTTATTTATCCAGCTCAACTCTTAAATTCCATATACAAAGCACCTTGTAACGAAGATATGGGAACCTCATTTATGCTAAACTTTTCATACTTATTTTAGTAAACGAAAAAGACATGAATGGAGAGACAGCTCTGCATAGAGCTGCTTTTGCTGGTAATTTTGGACATTTTTTTTTATAAAAAAGAATGTTTTGTTCAATCCGTTTCATTGATCTATGAATATTTTTCATATTCTATCAGGCAAAGTGAAGAAAGCTCAAAACCTCATCGCTGAAGGAGCCGACCCTAATATTGGAAATGATTGGGGTGAGACAGCTCTGCACTATGCTGCTAAGAAAGGTAACGTTGAATACTTACACAGTGCAACATTTTTCAAGTCATGAAAGGCAAACTCATTTCTGAGAATTCCACGTCAAAGTACTTACCGAAACAAGAACTCCTGCCAAATATTTTTAAAAAGTTTATTCATTTAAGGATTTAATTTCCTCCGGCGTTTTTTGGCCAAAGGTGGATTTTTAGCACTTTTTCAATATTTCCACACGGCTATAACTCGGTTACCCGTTATGAATATTGTTGTTTGGTCTTAATCAAAGTTGTAGGTATTGAATCAGAAAAAAAAAATGTAGAACAAACTTACCCCAAAAAAGGCATCTAGGGCTCAAAATCGCAAA